CCCCGCCTGGCACCCCCATCGGACCGCTCAGCAGCAGTAGCAGCAGCAGTCGGGGCATCAGCAGCAGCATCAGCAGGGGCATCAGCATCAGCAGCAGGAACATCCACGAGGGTGCTGAACGGGACAGCGCCACGAGGGTGACACCACGGCGCGCCTTGTGGGCGCCACTTGGGACGGATTGCGGCGACCATGAAGCCTCCCCACCCCACCCACCCCCCCAGCTCAGTGTCCCGGGGAGGGTTCCGTAGCGAGCGGTGGTGGTGGTGGTGGTGATTGGTGGTGGTGGTTGGTGGTGGTGGTGGTGGTTTGTGGTGGTGATTGGTGGTGGTTGGTGGTTGGTGGTGGTTGGTGGTGGTGGTTGGTGGTTGGTGGTGGTTGGTGGTTGGTGGTGGTTGGTGTTGGTGGTGGTTTGTGGTGGTGATTGGTGGTGGTTGGTGGTGGTGGTTGGTGGTGGTGGTTGGTGGTGGTGGTGATTGGTGGTGGTGGTGGTTGGTGGTGGTGCTGCCTCAGCTGCTGGGCGATGTGGTGGATGCTGGGAAGAGGCTGCACCAGTGGCGGGTGAGGATTGAGCGGGTGGGGGGTGGTGGAGGAGGGCGAATGCACAGCCCACGAACACGCCCAAGCAACACACACACAATCGCCATTCGCCACTAAGTGGCGGTGACGTCACCACGACGCTTGTGCCAGGCCATGTGCACCTTGAGGCCACGTGAAGTGTCGAACGCCCGCTGGCAGGTGGTCACGGTGCAGACCCAGGTGCCACGGGTCGACTGAGATGACCGAGATGACTGGCTGATGCACCACCTGTGCCCCCTACTGTGCCAACTCGCTGTTCTTTAGCCACCCGGCGCTCCGCTCGTTGTTGTGAGCGTCGCTCCTCCGCCCTCCGTTGTTGTTGGAGGGCGACTGCCTCCACCTGCCCAGTAGCGTCCTTCACGAGCCTCCTCCACAGAGGCCGATCTTGACACCGCTGGTACCAGTCATCGGCAAGTTCACTCAACTCCACGTTCTCCTGTACCACATCACTCCATCTCTTCTCTAGCCCGTGCCGCACACGCACCCCTCCCCCTCCCACTGGACACTACGTGGTGCGAGATCGGCCCCCGCGGGCGCCCTGCATGCGAGCCGTCACTGCTCGTTCCTCGGTGCAAGGGGACTGCCTCATGTCCCGGGCGAGATGTTAACTACCTCGCCTGGTGTGCAGGAGGTCGTGGGTTCCACCCCGACCCTGACACCTGCTGCTGTATATTTGGAGTTTTCGTGTCTCTCTCTCTCATCATCATCACGGTGGCTAGATGTTAACTACCTCGCCTGGTATACAGGAGGTTGTGGGTTCCACCCCGACGCCTGCTGCTGTATATTTGGAGTTTGCATCTCTCATCATTATCATCACGGTGGCTAGATGTTGACTACCTCGCCTGGTATACAGGAGGTCTTGGGCTCGACGCCTGCTGCTGCTGTATTTTGAGTTTGCGGTGCCTCTCTCTCCGTAGTCGAGTGTCGTCTTTCCTCCTGTTTCCCCCTCCACAATTAGACTCGACTTCGCGTGTTTGGCGAATTTGGCTGCTGCTGCAAACTCCCACGCGGCGGCGACGACGTCGATCCACTCCGTAGAGCCATCACGTGCGATGGGCAGGTCGCCTCTGATAAAAGCTACAGAGCTCCGCGCGGTGCCTCACCTGGCCAAACAAACACAAATTCAGATGCGGGACAGCACGAGGTCATTGCTCGCGTGGTCCTGTGGGGTCATCCTCGCACCAAGAAGCGCCTGGGGGGTTCGATTGCGGCCTCGGGGGCTGTTGTGCGTGGGGGGGGGGGGTGTTCACTCCCCGGCTCTGTCGTGCGAGGAGTGTGGAGTTGGTGTGGCCTGACCGCGTTCGTGAGGGTTGCTGATGTGCGAGAGGGCGAGTGAGTGGAGTTGGTGTGGTCTCTCCCCTTGTTAAGGGTGTTTGTGTCTGAGTGAGAATTGGTGTGGTCTCCCCCTGTTCAGTGTGAGTGAGAGTGTATAAATGAGTGTGAGTGAGTGAATGAGTGTGAGAGTGAGTGAATTAATGAGTGTGTGAGTGAGTGAGGGTGAGTGTGTGAGTTGGTATGGTCTCCTGTTCAGTGTGAGTGTGAGTGAATGAGTGTGTGAGTGAATGAGTGTGTGAGAGTGTGTGAGTGAGAGTTGGTATGGTCTCCCCCTGCTCAGTGCGAGTGAGTGAATGAATGAGTGTGAGTACGAGTGAGTTGGTATGGTCTCCCCCTGTTCAGTGCGAGTCAGTGTGAATGAATGAATGAGTGTGAGTGTTTGTATGGTCTCTCCCCCCGTTCTTCAGTCTGCGAGCGAGCACGAGGGAGAGAGAGCGGCGCTTGCCCCCCCCCCTTCTCGCGCGGCATCGCTTTCCTCTTCGTCGAGTAAACAGGAGGGGGGGGGGCAGCCTCTCTTCCCTCCCCGCCTTTATTAGCCAAAGCAGAAGCAACAATCTCCTCCCCTCGCGGCAAAGTCCAACGTCGCTCGCGAACACCGCCGCAGCGCCCGCAAAGTCCGAGCCGAGCGCCTCGTTAGCTTTCCAATTTTGAACAACAACAACAGCAGCAGCACCATCAGCAGCAGCAGCATCAGCAGCAGCATCAGCAGCAGCAGCACCAGCAGCAGCACCACCATCAGCAGCAGCAGCATCAGCAGCATCAGCACCACCATCAGCAGCAGCACCAGCAGCAGCACCACCATCAGCAGCAGCAGCATCAGCAGCATCAGCACCACCATCAGCAGCAGCACCATCAGCAGCATCAGCAGCAGCATCAGCACCACCAACAGCAGCATCAGCAGCATCAGCAGCACCAGCAGCACCACCATCAGCAGCATCAGCACCACCATTAGCAGCACCAGCAGCACCATCATCAACAGCAGCACCACCATCAGCACCAGCAGCAGCATCAGCATCACCATCAGCACCATCAGCAGCAGCAAAAACACAACAAAACTGAGTCCGCTGCGGTGCCGAGGCTTGTTCGTCATCGAGACGCATCGCCGTCGGCGCGTGGAGCGAAACGTCGGACATCGTGCCGCAAACAACGACGACGACGCGCAGAAGAAGGGGGTGGGGGGGGGGGCCGCACCGGAGCGCTGTGGAGCAGCGACAAGCACGAGAAAAACCAACGCTGCTCGAGTGAAGCCTGGCGCAAGGCACATTCCTCTTCTTCCCAACATGTCTCTGCGCAAACACAAGTATTTTATTGTTCCGTTTAGCTTTACGTAAACCCATCCGCCACGCGATCTTCTGGGCAGTGCACCGTAGCAGCAGCAGCAGCGTCAGTTCCACAGAGCACAAGCCAAAAACAACGAAACTCTGGACTGGATTTTGACATTCAATGTCACAGCGGTCAAACGCGTCTCTCGCTCGAGCCAGCGACACGCGGACGAGGTCATCAGCAAACTCGGTCAGTGCCGGAGGGCAAGGTTATTTGTGCCGCTGCTAGAAATGTGACGATGATGACGACGATGAGGCACTTGATGTGTTATGGCCGGGCTCGCGTCTGGACAAGGAAGGCTCTCATTTGCTCAGTGGGCCTCACCTGGTAAAATAAAATACGAAAAAGGCTGCGTGACTTTCCCTTACTTTGTACTCAGATTGCGTTTTTTGTATTGTCTGTTTGTAAGCTTCTGACCCGGCCATACTGGAACTCGTGACAAAGAGTTTTAAAGTACATCAGATTCCTCCAGTTTTATTAAATGTTCTTATTCTCCCATTCTGACATTACCCCCACTCCCGCCACGGGTCTGCGCTGGGCAGCTTTGCCACAATCAGGAATATTGATTAGTTTGGAAAGAATCCGACCAGCTATCAAGCTCTTTCCACAGATGTCCTGCAGCGGCGGTAGTCGACGCGACGGTGAATTTGGCACGGGGACGAGATTGTTAAGGTGGGGGGGAGTGGTGGGGGGGGGAGTGGTGGGGGGGGAGTGGTGGGGGGGGGAGTGGTGGGGGGGGGAGTGGTGGGGGGGGGGAGTGGTGGGGGGGGGAGTGGTGGGGGGGAGAGTGGTGGGGGGGGGAGTGGTGGGGGGGGGGAGTGGTGGGGGGGAGTGGTGGGGGGGGAGTGGTGGGGGGGGGGAGTGGTGGGGGGGGGAGTGGTGGGGGGGGGAGTGGTGGGGGGGAGTGGTGGGGGGGGAGTGGTGGGGGGGGAGTGGTGGGGGGGGGAGTGGTGGGGGGGGGAGTGGTGGGGGGGGGAGTGGTGGGGGGGGGAGTGGTGGGGGGGGGAGTGGTGGGGGGGGGAGTGGTGGGGGGGAGTGGTGGGGGGGGGATGGTGGGGGGGAGTGGTGGGGGGGGGAGTGGTGGGGGGGGAGTGGTGGGGGGGGAGTGGTGGGGGGGGAGTGGTGGGGGGGGGAGTGGTGGGGGGGGAGTGGTGGGGGGGGGAGTGGTGGGGGGGGAGTGGTGGGGGGGGAGTGGTGGGGGGGGGAGTGGTGGGGGGGGGAGTGGTGGGGGGGGGAGTGGTGGGGGGGAGTGGTGGGGGGGGGGAGTGGTGGGGGGGAGTGGTGGGGGGGGGGAGTGGTGGGGGGGAGTGGTGGGGGGGGAGTGGTGGGGGGGGGAGTGGTGGGGGGGGGAGTGGTGGGGGGGGGAGTGGTGGGGGGGGAGTGGTGGGGGGGGAGTGGTGGGGGGGGAGTGGTGGGGGGGGAGTGGTGGGGGGGGAGAGTGGTGGGGGGGGGAGTGGTGGGGGGGAGTGGTGGGGGGGGGGAGTGGTGGGGGGGAGTGGTGGGGGGGGAGTGGTGGGGGGGGGAGTGGTGGGGGGGGGAAGTGGTGGGGGGGGAGTGGTGGGGGGGGGAGTGGTGGGGGGGGGAGTGGTGGGGGGGAGTGGTGGGGGGGGAGAGAAGGTGGGGGGGAGGAGGGGTGGTGAGAAGGGGGAATGGGGGAGGGAAAGTGGTGGGGGGAAAGCGGGGGGGGGGGGGGGGAGAAAGCGGGGGGGGGGAGAAGGTGGGGGGGGGGGGGGAATGGGGGGGGGGGGGAGAGAAGTGGGGGGGGGGGGTAGCAACATGGTGACGCTGGGCTATCGACCCCGAGCGAGGAGCGTCACGGGAGGGGCCGTGTGTGTGTGCTCACGTCCAGCCCAATCAATCAATCGATCGATTTGTTCCTTTCCCTCGGGACCCTCTGGTTCCCCCCCCCCCGTTCCACATTTTTAGAATCAACGTCACCACGCTTTAGGAGCATTTGGCCGCCGCTACGAATTTCCACACGACGATGACGATAAGGGCAATCATTTGTGATCGCTTCTGAAAAAGAAGGTGATGGTCACTAGTGTGCTTGAGCTGGTAAGATTACAAAAAAAGTTAAGCGTTATTTGTAGATATGTTTTTTGTTGTTATCCGTTTACCGTTCCCATACTTGAACACTCCTCTCGTGTTTTTTTTCCGGTACCGTTTGTTGTAACGTTCTGAGCCTGCGGCCCCCCGGTGAGAAAAGAGCTTGACAGCTCCTCGGATTCTCTCCAGTCGAAATATCCCACTGCCACTGCGACAACCTCCAGATCCCGAGGTGGTCGAGCGACCGAGCGAGCGAGCGACCGAGCGAGCGAACGATGGAGCCTAGCGGATGGCGCGGAAAGTGAGGTGGCAGCCCTTCACCCGCCCCTCTCTCTCCCCACGCCACCGTAGATTGTTGTCGTCGTCGTCGTCGTCGTTAATATACCGCGGTGAGCGTAGCAGCAGTTGCTGTGCAGGTCGTGGAGAACGAAACGAAATCTTCCCCCGTTGCGACGAACTTGCAACGAATTCGGTTTTAGGAAAACGCTTGCCAGTGTGGTAACTGGCCTCTCCTGCGGGCGTATTGGGTCACGGCGGCAACTGCCAGAATCAGCCGAAACCTCCACCACCCACCACAACGCACGCGACTCCTGTTGTTGTGTGTGGCCACGCGCACCCCCCCCCCACTCCGAAACCCCTCCCCCCCCCTCCCCGCGCCGTAGCCGCCGCCCCCTTTGAAAACAAACTCCGCAACGGTTCATCTTCTTGGTTCTTTCGGTAAAGTCGTCACGTAGAAGGGAAATAATAAAATAATAAAAATAAAACAATATATAATTCTCACGACGTTTCGGCCACAACGCAAGCAGCCGTCCTCAGGTGAAAAACAGGTCTTGACAAAGGAATTTGCATATCTGTTGATATGCAAATTCCTTTGTCAAGGCGCTCTTCCTCCCCTAACCCAGCTTAAATATAGGCTGCCAAGCCTGGTGGTGTTTCATTCAGACGCTGTCTTTCCGACAGACCTGTTCTTCACCTGAGGACGGCTGCTTGCGTTGTGGCCGAAACGTCGTGAGAATTATTTTATTATGTTTTATTTTTATTCTTTTATTTCCCTTCTACGTGACTTTACCGAAAGAACCAAAAAGATGAATCCCTGCAGTCACGAAAGCTTTACATCGAAAAGATTTATATTTTATTAACATTTTTTATTTTTTTTATTTTAGTATGTTGAATTTTTATCATTTTATTATTTCCCTTCTACGTGACTTTACCGAAAGAACCAAGAAGATGCTGCTGCAGTCACGAAAGCTTTACATCGAAATTCCGCAACGGAGCTTTGCGCGCATCCGTATCCGCCGCATGCCCACGTGCCCCGCTCGGGGCAGCCGACGTCGATACTCGAACAGCATCACCCTGCGTAACAAAAAAACACGAACACCTCACGGGACCCACCGTCACTCCACCGCTGGGACGAAGGCCGTCCCCCGACGTCTTGGCCGCTCGTGTGACACCGCACGTCAACCGTGCCGCTTGGCGCCGGTTGGTCAAGAGGCTTGCGAGGCGCTAACCGCCGTGCCGCCGTTCCCCCCCCCCTCCGCCCCGTATAGGCGCGCATTTCAAGATTTAAATCAGAACCCGCCAAAAAACACTTGTGACCCTTCTGTCTCTCTCTCTCTCTGTCCGACGTTCATTCAGATTGCGCGGTCGGCGGCGTCGCGAGGCCAGGAACCCGTTCGGGAAATCTCGCAGAGCACAGCAGCCCTCCCCCGTCTCGCTTGAGAACGGCCCGCTGAAGCGGACATCACAGAGCCACCTCTGAGATCCCTACTTCTTCAAGTGACACTCTGGCAGACACACAACGGCCGCTGAAGCGGACATCACACAGGGCGACCTCTGAGATCTCTACTTCTTCAAGTGACGCTTGTGAACACAGAACGGCCGCTGAAGCGGACATCACAGAGCCACCTCCAAGACCCCCTCTTCTGCGTCAAGCGATGCAATGGCTCCGCACGCGGCCGCCACTGCCGCAAGAGAGCAAAGCGAGAAACGGCGTTGACAAAATTTTCCCCTCGAGTGTCAAGATCCTCCTCCGATACCGCTTCAAGCGACGTTTGTGGCACGTCAGAGCGGTACTTGTGTCGCGAGCCCAAATGCAGCGTCGGAAAGCAAATTGGAAGGCGACCGGGCTGAGGCACCTCAACGCGCTACGATTCAGAACCCTTCAAACACCTTTAGGACCATCCCCCCCCTCCCCCCACCTCCTCGGATGAACTTAGCTGAGCAGATCTCCCACCCCCCCCCCCCCACCGCCACCGCCGCCGCCGCCTTTGTACGCGCTTCGAGAAGACAAACGTCAGCGTGACGTCGGTCTGTTCTTCGCCGACGGAGCGCCGCCTTGCGGTGGTGGGGGGCCGGAGAGGTGGGGGCGGTTGGGGGGGGGGTCCCGCCCACACAAAGTGGCACTGACCGGCGCGGTGAAGTATGGTCAACCCCCAACGCGACGCAGATAAACCACGGCCCGCCTACCCCCCCACCACCACCACTAGCCATGGCGCTGGTGTGACCGGTGTGACCTGCCCCCCCGCCGCGCTCCCCACGACCTTCAAAGCAAGGTCACAAGGTCACAAGGTTCCAAGGTCGCGAGGTCGTAAGGTCGCGAGGTTGCAAGGTTACGAGGTCGCGATGTAGCAAAATCGCGAGCTCGCAATGTCCCAAGGTTCCAAGGTCACAAGGTCGCGAGGTTGTAAGTTTGCAAGGTTACGAGGTCACGATGTAGCGAAATCGCGAGCTCGCAGCGTCGCAATGTCCCAAGGTCACATGGTCGCGAGGTTGCCAGGTTACGAGCTCGCAAAGGTAGCGAGGTCGCAAGGTCGCAAGGTTGTAAGTTTGCAAGGTTACGAGGTCGCGATGTAGCGAAATCGCGAGCTCGCAGCGTCGCAATGTCCCAAGGTCACATGGTCGCGAGGTCGCACGGTTGCCAGGTTACGAGCTCGCAAAGGTCGCGAGATCGCAAAGTCGCGAGGTCGCACCGCAGGAACCCCCGGTCGCCACTGCCGCTCACCACTGCGTGGCCTCCCACGGCGCTCGCCGCGGCAACGCCCCGGCCTCACCGCCACCGCCACCGCCATCTGGCGAGGGCGCCAGCAGCACGTCGTGCATGTCGCCGAACGCCGCCTCGACGGCGAGCGCCAGCGCCGAGGCGTGGGTGTGCCGGCAACAGTGCAGTGCCGTCACGCTGATGGAGATGCGCGAGGCCTGCGGGTTGTAGCACACGCCGTAGCCGTCGGGCACCGCCGGGCCCTGGCACATCACCGCCTCCATGTGCGCGGGGACCTGGGGGGGGGGGGGGGGGACGATGTAGTGGAATTTATAATCTGCAGGTCACATGTCAGCACGTGTGTATGTGTGCTGAACTTATTTAGCACCGCCGTACGTGGCCAACCGCGTTGATCGGAGGTGAAGTGCTGAGTCTATGGGTAGTGTTGAGTCTATGGGCGGTGTTGAGTTTATGGGTAGTGTTGAGTCTATGGGTAGTGTTGAGTCTATGGGTAGTGTTGAGTCTATGGGTAGTGTTGAGTCTATGGGTAGTGTTGAGTCTATGGTGCAGTGTTGAATCTATGGTGCAGTGTTGAGTCTTTGGGTAGTGTTGAGTCTATGGGTAGTGTTGAGTCTATGGGCAGTGTTGAGTCTATGGGCAGTGTTGAGTCTATGGGCAGTGTTGAGTCTATGGGCGGTGTTGAGTCTATGGGCAGTGTTGAGTCTATGGGTTAGTGTTGAGTCTATGGGTAGTGTTGAGTCTATGGGTAGTGTTGAGTCTATGGGCAGTGTTAGTCTATGATTCAGTGTTGAGTCTATGGGCAGTGTTGAGTCTATGATTCAGTGTTGAGTCTATGGGCAGTGTTGAGTCTATGGTGCAGTGTTTAGTCTATGGGCAGTGTTAGTCTATGATTCAGTGTTGAGTCTATGGGCAGTGTTAGTCTATGATTCAGTGTTGAGTCTATGGGCAGTGTAAGTATATGATTCAGTGTTGAGTCTATGATTCAGTGTTGAGTCTATGGGCAGTGTAAGTATATGATTCAGTGTTGAGTCTATGGGCAGTGTTGAGTCGATGGTGCAGTGTTTAGTCTATGGGCAGTGTTTAGTCTATGGGCAGTGTTAGTCTATGGGCAGTGTTGAGTCTATGGGCAGTGTTAGTCTATGGGCAGTGTTGAGTCTATGGGCAGTGTTGAGTCTATGGGCAGTGTTGAGTCTATGGGCAGTGTTAGTCTATGATTCAGTGTTGAGTCTATGGGCAGTGTTGAGTCTATGGGTCGTGTTGAGTCTATGGGCAGTGTTGAGTTTATGGGCAGTCTTGAGTCTATGGGTAGTGTTGAGTCTATGGGTAGTGTTGAGTCTATGGGTAGTGTTGAGTCTATGATTCAGTGTAGAGTCTATGGGCAGTGTTTAGTCTATGGGCAGTGTTGAGTCTATGGGCAGTGTTAGTCTATGGGCAGTGTTGAGTCGATGGGCAGTGTTAGTCGATGATTCAGTGTAGAGTCTATGGGCAGTATGGAGTCTATGGGCAGTGTTAGTCTATGATTCCGTGTTGAGCCTATGGGCAGTGTTGAGTCTATGGGTAGTGTTGAGTTTATTGGCAGTGTTGAGTCTATGGGTAGTGTTGAGTCTATGGGTAGTGTTGAGTCTATGGGCAGTGTTGAGTCTATGGGCAGTGTTGAGTCTATGGTGCAGTGTTGAGTCTATGGTGTAGTGTTGAGTCTATGGGCAGTGTTGAGTGCATGGACAGTGTTGAGTCTATGGGCAGTGTTGAGTGTATGGACAGTGTTGAGTCTATGGGCAGTGTTGAGTGTATGGACAGTGTTGAGTCTATGGGCAGTGTTGAGTCTATGGGCAGTGTTAAAGAATACAAACTGCAAGCAAGGGTCGAGAATCGAACCCGGGAACTACTTTGCAAGCGAGGAATAACCGTTGCCACTCCTCGCCTAGGTGACCTGTGACCTGTGACCTGTGTGCCCCGGTGCGGCCCGCACCTCAGAGGTCACAACCGGGTACCCGATACCCGTACCCTACCCGATACCCGGCTACCCGTACCCTGCCGGGTACGGGTAGCCGTTTGTGACCCTGGTGCGGCCGGGTACGGGTACGGGTAGGCCGTGAGTCACTGGTGAGTAACCGTTTGTCACTCATTTCCCAACGTCTTGTCTCTTCTCACAATTCAAGTTCCTAGAATCAACCCACCCGTGCCTGCAACATGGCTTCATCCCAGAGGTCGCAATCAGGTACCTGATACCCGTACCCTACCCGTACCCGGCCGTACCCGGCCGGGTACGGGTAGGGTACGGGTACGGCCGGGTACGGGTACCCGTCTGCGACCCTGGTGCGGCCGGGTACGGGTACGGGTAAGGAATCAAAACCCGTTTGCGACCTCTGCCGCACCTGCTTGGTGAAGAGGCGGAAGTGTGTGGCGATGGCGTAGGAGGTGTCCATGTAGAGCTGCGGTACGCTGTGGCCGTCCGCGATGGCCTGCAGCTTCAGGCCCAGCAGGTGGGCGTCTATAGCCTGGCCCGTCATAGCCTGGCACAGACACACAAAGACAAAGATCCCCCGTGTAGCCTTAATACACTGTAGGGGCAAGTGCTGTTAGCGAGCACCTATGAAGGCCGGTACGGCACAGGGGGTGAGTGGCCAGCACCACGCCCGGCTAACTTTGTCTCCCCAGTGGCGATGTTTACTACACATGGCACCAGGTACTCATTTGAGGCTGAGTCGACCTAGGGGAGGCCCATGACCAGTTCAGATAATCGTGACCGATGTTGGCCATGAGCGGGAATCGAACTCGGGTTGCCAACATCGTAGCGCACCGTGGCGCTAACCACTGCACCACCGCTCCCCATACACAAAAGACTAAGATCCCCCGTATAGCCTTAATCGACTGTAGGGGCAAGTGCTGCTAGCGAGCACCTATGAAGGCCGGCACGGCACATGAGGGGGTGGGTGGCCAGCACCACGCCCTGCTAACTTTGTCTCCAGAGTGGCGATGGTTACACATCGCACTAGGTACTCATTTGAGGCTGAGTCGACCTAGGGGAGGCCCATGACCAGTTCAGATCATCGTGACCGGTGTTGGCCGTGAGCGGGAATCGAACTCGGGTTGCCAGCTTCGTAGCGCAGCGTGGCGCTGCAGGTGTGCGTCTATAGCCTGGCCCATCATAGCCTGGCACACACACACACAGACAAAGATCCCCCGTAAATCTAATCTAAGTTGTCTTGTGGTTGTTGTTGGTTGTTTGACTTGCATCCCACTGGGATTTTTGCACACAGCGTTGGTGTACGGTGATTTTTTTCTGCAATGTTTTGCTGTCTTTTCTTGGATTTTCTGTTTGCACTTAGTCACATAGTCACTTTAAGATGTTTTCTTGTTCATGTTTTTGTTTTTTGTTTGTTGCGGTTGCACCCGATTCAAGAGCCGAATGGCTCACAGGGCTACACCTAATACATGAACTCGTATAGCCTTAATAGACTGTAAGGGCAAGTGCTGTTAGCGAGCACCTATGAAGGCCGGTACAACACACGAGGGGGTGGGTGGCCAGCACCACGCCCGGCCGACTTTGTCTCCCCAGCGGCGATGTTTACTACACATGGCACCAGGTACTCATTTGAGGCTGAGTCGACCTAGGGGAGGCCCATGACCAGTTCAGATAATCGTGACCGGTGTTAGCCATGAGCGGGAATCGAACTCGGGTCGCCGGCTTCGTAGCGCAGCGTGGCGCTAACCGCTACACCACCGCTCCACATACACAAAAGACTAAGATCCCCCGTATAGCCTTAATAGACTGTTGGGGCAAGTTCTGTTAGCGAGCACCTACGAAGGCCGGCACGGCACACGAGGCGCTACCCCGAACCCGTCCCGGCTCCAGCCGGCGCGGCGTGCTCCCCACCTGCTCCGTGGACTCCACGTGAGTCTGGATTGCCGCCCTCAGCAGCGCCAGCTTCTCGGCGTCCTGCGACGGCGCAACGCAAAAGCCACACGATCACGACATCACAGCGTCACCGGCACATACACACACAGCGTCACAAACACACACAGCGTCATCAGAACATACACACAGCGTCACCAGCACACACACACACAGCGTCACCAGCACACACACAGTGTCACCAGCACACACACACACACAGTGTCACTAGCACACACACACCGTCACCAACACACACACACACACACAGCGTCACACACACACACAGCATCACCAGCACACACACACACAGCATCACCAGAACATACACACACACACAGCGTCACAAACACACACACACACACAGCGTCACCAGCACATACACACAGCGTCACCAGCATACACACAGCGTCACCAGCACACACACACACAGCGTCACCAGCACACACACACACACACACAGCGTCACCAACACACACACACAGCATCACCAGAACACACACACACAGCGTCACTAACACACACACACAGCGTCACCATCACACACACACAGCGTCACCAGCACACACACACAGCATCACCAGCACACACACACACACACAGCGTCACCAGCACACACACAACGTCACTAGCACACACACACACACAGCATCACCAGCACACACACACACAGCGTCACCAGCACACACACAACGTCACCAGCACACACACACAGCATCACCAGCACACACACACAGCATCACCAGCACACACACACAGCATCACCAGCACACACACACACACAGCGTCACCAGCACACACACGTCACCAGCACACACACACAGCGTCACCAACACACACACACAGCATGACCAGCACACACACACAGCGTCACCAGCGCACACACAGCATCACCAGCACACACACACACACAGCGTCACCAGCGTACACACACACACAGCGTCACCAGCGTACACACGCAACCACAACAACGTGTACCGGAGTGTCGGGGCTGTCGAAGGCCTCCACGAAGCGCAGCGATTGTGACGAGGTGGAGCGGATGATGTCGGTGCGGCCCAGGTGGAACATTCGCGTGGTGGCACTCTCGCTGGTGGAGCACACCCCACCGTGCAGCCTGCGCACACAGCCACCAGAGGCGCCCACTCACCTCCCCACCCACTCACTCGCTCGCTCACTCATCCACTCACTCACTCACTCGCCCGCTCACTCACCCACCTCGCTGGTGGAGCACACCCCGCCGTGCAGCCTGCGCACACAGCCACCAGAGGTGCTCACTCACCTCCCCACCCACCCACTCACTCGCTCGCTCACTCATCCACTCACTCGCTCGCCCGCTCACTCACTCACCTCGCTGGTGGAGCACACCCCGCCGTGCAGCCTGCGCACACAGCCACCAGAGGCGCCCACTCACCTCCCCACCCACTCACTCGCTCGCTCACTCATCCACTCACTCACTCACTCGCCCGCTCACTCACTCACCTCGCTGGTGGAGCACACCCCGCCGTGCAGCCTGCGCACACAGCCACCAGAGGCGCTCACTCACCTCCCCACCCACCCACTCACTCGCTCGCTCACTCATCCACTCACTCACTCACCTCGCTGGTGGAGCACACCCCACCGTGCAGCCTGCACACACAGCCACCAGAGGTGCTCACTCACCTCCCCACCCACTCACTCGCTCGCTCACTCACTCACCCACTCACTCGCTCACTCACCTAGCCCACCTACCCACCCGCTCACTCACCTCCCCGCCCACCCACCCACTCACTCACTCGCCCGCCCACTCACTCACCTCCCCGCCCACCCACCCACCCACTCACTCGCTCGCTCGCCCGCCCACTCACTTCGCCCACTCACTCCCTCACCCACTCCCTCACCCACTCACTCACCTCCCCACCCACTCACTCGCTTGCCCGCCCGCTCACCTCGCCCGCCCACCCACCCGCTCGCTCGTCCGCTCACTCGCATGCCCACTCACTTACCTCGCCCACCTGCCCGCTCACTCGCTCGCCCGCCCACTCGCCCACTCCCTCCCTCACCCACTCACTCGCCCGCCCGCTCACTCACCTGTTCGCTCGCCCGCCCGCCCGCCCGCCCACTCGCTCACTCCCTCCCTCACCCACTCACTCGCCCGCCTGCTCACTCACTCACCTGTTCGCTCGCTCGTCCGCTCACTCGCATGCCCACTCACTCGTCCGCTCACTCGCACGCCCACTCACTCGCTCAATCACTCGCTTGCTTACTCACCTCGCCCGCCCACTCACTCGTCCGCTCACTTGCCCGCCCACTCACTCGTCCGCTCCCTCGCACACCCACTCGCTCGCCCACTCACCCGCTCGCCCACTCAGTCACCTACTCGCTCACCCAGAAACTCACTCACCCAACTCAGTCCACCACCCACACAATCACTCATTCACGCACTCACTCGCTCAGTTCACTACCCGCTCACTCACAGACTCACTCCCCGACTCGCTCACTTCACGATCCACGCACTCACATCACTCACTCACTTAACCATCCACCCATTGACTGACTCACCCACCCGATCACCGAATCACTCTCTCGGCTACTCATTCGCTCATCCCATCCACCCTCTCCTCCATCACCGACCTACCCACACCGATTTACATAACCACTCGTTCACCCACTCACCCCGTCACCCCCACACCCACCACCAGCGCCCACCTGTAGTACGCGAGCTGCAGCGCCATCTGGATGAAGGCGTCGGGGCTGAGGCCCTGCTGCTTGAGGAAGTCCTTGCCGAACCTCCGGTAGATCAGGCAGCGGATGTCCAGGTCACCCACCTGGCTGTGGGGGTCCGGCCGGAACATTTTAATACTCGCCACCGCACGGCATTGTGGGGTGATGACGATGATGACGACGACGACGATGACGACGATTATGATAATGACGACTATGATGACGATGATGATGATGACGATGATGATGACGATTATGATAATGACGACTATGATGACGATGATGATGATGACGACGATGATGACGATTATGATAATGACGATGGCGACGATGATGACAATGACGATGACGACGATGATGACGATGACAATGACGATGATGACGATGAGGACGACGACGATGATGACGATGATGACAATGATGATGATGACGATAATGATAATGACGATGATGACGATGATGACAATGACGATGATGACGATGATGACAATGACGATGATGACAATGATGATGATGACGATGATGACAATGATGATGATGACGATGATGACAATGACGATGACGACGATGATGACGATGACAATGACGATGATGACGATGAGGACGACGACGATGATGACGATGATGACAATGATGATGATGACGATGATGATAATGACGATGATGATGACAACGATGACGACGACGACGATGATGACGACGATGACGATGATGACGATGATGATGATGACGATGATGATAATGACGATGATGACAATGATGATGATGACGATGATGATAATGACGATGATGACGATGATGATAATGACGATGATGACAATGATGATGATGACGATGATGATAATGACGATGATGACAATGATGATAATGACGATGATGATAATGACGATGATGACAATGATGATGACAACGACGACGACGACGATAATTCTGCAGGGAGTAATGCTGCTGCTGCTGATGATAACCACGGTGACGATGACTGTGATGCGGACGTCGCTGATAAATCTGTCCCTGCTGCTGGTGATGATTATGACGATGCTGCTGCTGCTGATGTTGCTGATGATTGTGATGACCATGATGATGGTACTGCTGTTTCAAACGTTGCTCCTCCTGGCTGCTGTTGCTGCTGCTGCTGATAATGATCAAGATGCTCTTGCTGCTGATGGTGCAGAAGATTATTAAGCTAAACTATTTCACGAGGAAAGGGTCCACTGAACTATTTCGTTCTTTTTTAGAAACGACCTGGTCACAAACGACAGCTCAAAGAGGCGGTGGCTTATCACGTGGAAATTGACAGCAGCCAAATACTCTGAACGCGTGACGTTGATTTTAAATGCGGACGGGAAAAAACCGGAGCACTCGGAGAAAAATAAATCCTTTGACGGATTGTATTTGACGCAAGCATGCTCACGGCCGTTTTCCGTGACCCTCCTCGGAGGACCCGGAGAAAAAAATACACGCAACCACGGGAAGAGAGACACTCAGAATTAAAATACACAGCAGCAGGCGTCAGGGTCGGGATCGAACCCATGACCTCCTGTACACCAGGCGAGGTAGTCAACATCTCCTAGCCACCGTGATGATGATGAGAGAGACACGCAAACTCCAAATATACAGCAGCAGGCGTCAGGGTCGGGATCGAACCCACGACCTCCTGTACACCAGGCGAGGTAGTCAACATCTCCTAGCCACCGTGATGATGGTGAGAGAGAGAGACACGCAAACTCCAAATATACAGCAGAAGGCGTCAGGGTCGATATTGAACCCACGACCTCCTGCATACCAGGCGAGGTAGGTAACATCTCCTGGCCACCATGATGATGATGAGAGAGAGACACGCAAACTCCAAATATACAGCAGCAGGCGTCAGGGACCGGATTGAAACCACGACGTCCTGTACACCAGGCGAGGTAGTCAACATCTCGCCACCACATTCAGCTGGCCACAGACGACAAAGCCGACGGTGCTGCTGCTGCTGATGCTGCTGCTACTGCTGATGCTGCTGCTGATGCTGCTGATGCTGCTGCTGCTGATGCTGCTGCTGATGCTGCTGCTGATGCTGCTGCTGATGCTGCTGCTGCTACGATGAAGACGATATCCGCGACCGATGAGGGCGACGGCGGTGGGTGACCCGCGGCTCGCTCACATGTCCAGGTGGACCTTGGCAGACTCGATGAGGTCCTTCACGTCCGAGTTGATGTTGAAGTAGAGCTTCCGCGGCGTCTCCAGGCTCGCCGCGCTCGAACGCGGCTCCTCCCACTGCTGCTGCTGGCTGCGAACGAAAGTGTAACAAAGGGACTTCGTCACGTAATTCTAGATTTGAAGCTTTCGTGACTGCAAGTATTCACATTCTTAGGTTTTTTCGGTAAAGTCACGTGGGTAAAAAAAATTAAATTAATAAAAGTAAAATAAAGTAAAATAAAAAATAAATATCACGACGTTTCGGAGGCAACACAAGCTTCCGTCTTCAGGTGGAACCGTCACAGCACGATAGCTGTATCAAGTAAATGAGAGATTCCAAGAGATACTACTCTCATCATCATCACGGTGGCTAGGATATGTTAACTACCTCGCCTGGTGTACAGGAGGTCGTGGGTTCCATCCTGACCCTGACGCCTGCTGCTGTGTATTTGGAGTTTGTACATACGTACATACGAACCGCGAGAAGGGGCTCCTAGGTTCGCTTTCCGACCCGGCTGCCTCTCTGTGCAAAGTTTCTGTTCCGTGTCCGTCGTGAATGACCGCGCGCGTTTCGGAACCGCGCCGTCGCGTCAGGAAGTAAACGCACGCCGATCAAACACGCCCTGCACTAGGCCCCATCGCAGCGCCCTGCAATAGGCCCCATCGCTGCGTCTCTTCGCTGCGTCCCATCACTGCATCCCATCACCACGCCTTGCCATAGGCCCCATCGCTGCGTCCCATCGTCGTGGCCCATCGCGCTTACTCACCAGTCGGCCACTGCGTAGTCGGCAATGCGCATGATGGGCACGCCCTCGGCCACGCCGCGCTCATAGAGCAGCCCGCATGTGCCGTCCTCGCCCACCACAAACTAGGAGAGGGGGGGGGGGGGTGGCACGGCATGGGGGAGTGCGGCGACGGGGCAGCACGTCGCAGACACACACACATAGAGACAGCGATGGAGCGATGAGTTCATGGGCAGGTGTGCCGGGTGGATTGCAATACCATCACATCACGTGGCAAAATAAAGATCCCCCGCGTAGCCTTGACAGGCTGTCGGGGCAAGTGCTGTTGGCGAGCACCTATGAGGGGTGGGTGGCCAGCACCACGCCCGGCCGCCTTTGTCTCCCCAGTGGCGATGTTTACTACACACCGCACCCGGTACTCGTGTGAGGCTGAGTCGACCTAGGGGAGGCCCAGGACCGGTTCAGATAATCGTCACTGGTGTTGGCAGTGAGCCGGGTTCGTAGCGCGGCGCGCTAACCGCCGGACCACCGCTCAACACACGCACACACTCAACAACAAGAACAGCAACCGCCATTCGCCACTAAGTGGCGGTGACTTCACCACGCCGCTTGTGCCAGGCCAGGTGCACACTCCCGAGGCCACGTTAAGTGTCGAATGCTCGCCGGCAGGAGGTCACGGGACAGACCCAGGTGATATGGGTTGACCGACTGAGATGGCTGGCAGGATGCACCACCTGTGCCACCTGCTGTGCCAACTACAGACACAGAAACGCCATGTTGTGAAAGACCCAACACAGCAGATCCCCCTGCGTTTGATCTTTCACGAAGCTCATGGTCCACCCTAAACCGCATCCGCACAAACCACAGCAGCAGCAGATGCCGATGATACCTGATGCACAAATGGAACATTTTTAACTTTCCAGTAATAGTAGTGTTGTGCGACTGATCATCCAGAACAGAGACCGTAGTGTAACGTGTCACGGCGCAATGCCCCTAAACCACAAACACGAAGGAGGAGACATCACAGCGATGATGATGGTACAACTTCTCCGCTGGCTCCCGATATGGTTGTCTGCTTGACCACCTGAATGTGACATCTACATCAGCAGCCGTACGACAACAAGATGAAGATCGTCATCATTATCTCGCACGGACACCGGTGAGGCCCAGTCGTCACAGCTGTCATCTCTCCATCGTCGTCGTCGTCATCGTCGTCACGTTCTCCTCAACCCACCAAGTGATGGCCATCATCACCATCATTCTGGCAAATCGCCCGACAATGCCGGTTGCAATCGCACCCGCGAAACGTCACAGCGCTCTAACTGTAAATGTCGCGGCTTTACTCTCCAACACGCACCGGTGAAGCAGTGACTCTGAAACCGCAGTCGCAGCTCAGCACCCACATCAGCAGCCCGTACGACAGAAGACAACGCCGACACACACACACAACAACAACCGCCATTCGCCACTAAGTGGCGGTGACGTCACCATGAAGCTTGTGCCAGGCCAAGTGCACCTTGAGGCCACGTGAAGTGTCGAACGCCAGCTGGCAGAAGGTCATGGGGCAGACCCAGCAGGTGCCACGGGTCGACTGACCGAGACGACCGAGATGACTGGCTGATGCACCACCTGTGCCCCCTACTGTACCAACTTGCTGTGCTTTAGCCACCCGGCGCTCCGCTCGTTGTTGTGAGCGTCGCTCCTCCGCCCTCCGTTGTTGTTGGAGGGCGACTGCCTCCAGCCTCCAACTGCCCAGTAGCGTCCTTCACGAGCCTCCTCCACAGAGGGCGACCTTGACACCGCTGGTACAGACACACACGCAGACACGCACGCACGCACCTGCAGAGTCTTGTCGAACCAGCGGTTGCCCGAGTTGGCGCAGCTGCCGCCCCCGTGCAGGATCTCCGCCGACATGCGGCTCAGCTGCATGTCCTCCTCGCCTGTGGTAGGCGGCATCGGCGCGTCCAGGCACACGGCGAAGATGCTCTGCTGGATGACGCGCGTCGACTCGCGGTTCAGCTTGTCTGCGACGTGTCACACGCGCAGGGCAGAGCGCACGTGTCACACACAGGGCAGAGTGCACGTGTCACACGCATGTAGGGGCAAGTGCTGTTGGCGAGGACCGGCACGGCACACGAGGGGTGGGTGGCCAGCATCCACGCCCGGCCGCCTTTGTCTCCCCGCCGGCTGCCCCCCAGAGGTCGCAACCGGGTACCCGATACCCGTACCCTACCCGATACCCGGCTACTCGTACCCAGCCGGGTAGACCGTGAGTCACTGGTGAGTAACCGTTTGTCACTCATTTCGGGTAGGGTACGGGAACGGGTAGGGAACGGCGACCCTGGTGCGGCCGGGTACGGGTAAGGAATCAAAACCCGTTTGCGACCTCTTCTGCCCGCCTCCCCCCCCACCCACCGCTGCCGCCGCCCCCACCGCCCCGGCTCGTACCGCGAATGAGGATGTCGTGGCCTGTGCCCCAGCGGTTGCGGTGCTCCGCCGTGAGGATGCCGATGGGCTCCTTGGTGGTCTTGATGGACAGGTTCCAGATCTTCTCCAGCTGCCAGTAGAGCTGCTCGGTGCTCAGCACCACGCCGTGGCTGTCGTAGACGTCGAGCTGGAAGAACTGCATCGACGCACGCACGCACGCACGCACGCACGCACGCACGCACACACGCACGCACGCACGCACACACGCACGCACACACACACACGCACACACGCAAGCGCGCGAGGCTGTGTTATGACTATTCATCGTGACACTTTCTCGCTCAGGTGAGACCCCCGCTGCATCACAAGACACTTGTTTTTTTTTTCAGGAGGGGTTAGGGGGCAGCGGGGGGGGGGCGATGTTGCTAACTGCTGTGTTGTGATCCTATTTGAGTAATTAGGGGCGCCACGGTGGCTAGGAGATGTTAACTCCCTCGCCTGGTGTACAGGAGGTCGTGGGTTCGATCCCAGACACTGACGCCTGCTGCTGTATATTTGGAGTCTGCGTGTCTCTCTCTCATCATCATCGCGGTGGCTAGGAGATGTTAACTACCTCGCCTGGTATACAGGAGGATGTGGGTTCGATCCCGACCCTGACGCCTGCTGCTGTATATTTGGAGTTTGCGTGTCTCTCTCTCATCATCATCGCGGTGGCTAGGAGATGTTAACTACCTCGCCTGGTATACCGGAGGTTGTGGGTTCGATCCCAGACACTGATGCCTGCTGCTGTATATTTGGAGTTTGCGTGTCTCTCTCTCATCATCACCCCACCCCCCCTCCCCGTCAGACACGCGCACTGGATTGCGCGCGAATCGATATTTTGTGGTGACTGGGGTTGGCTCGGAGGTCGGAGATGCCGAGCCAGTACCGCCGAGAGCCTGGGTTCAATCCGGGTCTCAGCTGTCCACCGCAGCCTGTTTATTTGGAGTTTGCGTGTCTCTCTCTCTCTCTCTCTCGCCCCATGCTCGCGTGGATGTTTCTCTCCGGGTCCTCCGGTTATTTTCCCCCTCCACGTTTAGAATCAACATCGCGCGTTCTAAAGCATTTGGCCGCTGCTAGAAATGTCCACGTGGGTTGAACGATCGTTCGTGATGGCAAGGACGCTTCTGTGAATAATATGGCTCAGTGTGGCACTTAGCTGGCAAAATTAAAAATAGTTGAATCTTGAGTTTTAGCTTCCGGCTTCGCGTGCGAATCGTTAACTCGTATACAGGTCACCACCACCGCCACCACCGCCACCACCGCCACCACCGCCTCCACCGCCACCACCGTCACCACCTGGCAGTGTTACTTGAGCGGTACGCGGTTAAACCGGGTTCCCCAAACCGAGAGTCGTACCCAGCAACTCTCTCTCTTTTTTTTTCTTCTAGATTTGAAGCTTTCGTGACTGCAAGGATTCATACTCTCAGTTTTTTCGGTAAAGTCACGTAGGTAAAAAATAAAATAAATAATAAAAAATAGTACAAAAATTTAAACTTTTATTTTTTATTTCTATCATACTCTTAGGTTGTTTCTGTAAAGTCACGTAGGTAAAAAAATGAAATTAATAAAAATAAAATAATAAAAATCACGACGTTTCGGAGGCAACACAAGTCTCCGTCATCAGGTGGGACCGTCACAGCCAGATTTGCTGCATCAAGTGAGGCAGGGATTCCAAGATGCAGGTTCTTAAATACAAGTTAAGGGGGAGGAGAGGGGGGGAGCTTATCAGATTGTGGTAGCCAATGAATGGAACGTATCGGGAAGGGGGGGTGGGGCTAAAAGAGAGCACGAGGTGTAAGTAGACGTGGAAGTGGACGTGTTAGTGCGCAAGCCCCTGTTGGTGCACTCTCTCTCTCTGGCAACACCGGGGGGGCGGGGGCATGGGGGGGGGGCTCGCCTGGTAGTTGTGCGCCACGGTGATGTGCCGCGGGTTGTTGCCGCCGCCGCGCTGGAGTGCGTAGTTGACGACGGTGTCGTGCCGTGGGCCCGGCACGCGGCACGACGAGAAGATGCGCCGGTACTGGTCCATGCAGAGCGGGCGGCCCCGGTGCAGGTTCCCCTGCAGGGTCTCGCTGGTGAGGAGGGGGGGGGGCGTACGAGGAGTCAGGGGGTCGTGGATTCACACACGATGGGCGTGCGGGCGGTACGCAACCCCTTCGTGTGGTGCGTAGAGCGGCGCTCTTCGCCGCAAGGTTGCCGCTGACGGGCCCCTGGTGGCCTTTCGTGCGGCCTCCTACAATAAGCGAATGTGAAAACAGCCCCCACCACCGTCGTCATCGTGCTGCTGCCAAACCCCCTAGTGGTTTCAAATGCGCGGCGGCCCTCCTCGCACTGATGAGGTCTTATCGGCGAAACTGCCCCCCCCCCCGCTAGCGAGGAACCACTGCGGCGGTTTAGAGGGCCGGCGGAGACCCCGACGAGTACGGAGAGACTCCCACCAGAGGACGCTGGCACAGGGAAAGCGCTAAAGGCTACACGGGGGAGGCGGGAGAGGAGGGGGAGAGGGGGGGGAAGGGGGGAAGGGATCTCCGTATTTGCTCTTCCACTCACCTATCGACGAGGGCCTTGAATTTCAGCACCGCGCTGATGAGCTTCGCCGCGAATCTGCGCGATGGGGGGGGGGGGAGGAGAGACGCACGTCGGAGTCACGGGGCTGTCTCGCTCGCAACACACGCGGATCGGCGGATTCCGTCGCTCCATCTCCACATCGGTGGGGTGCCCCCTTTCTCGCCCACGGCTGCCCACGGGCCTCAACGGTTTTGTATTTGAGCCAGGTAAGGCCCACTGAGCTGCACATGCGACCTGGTGACATCACCCACGGGTGGCGGTGGCAGCCAGTGGGTGCCTCACTCGGTGGCGCCCGCCCCATGGGTGGCAGCGCTCGCCACCAGTGGGTGGTGGCCGCCAAGTCGGGCAACGGCCACCACGGGGCGCGCGCCGCTGAAAGATGCTCGTTGTGGCAGAGGCATAGCTAGGGGGGGGGCAGGGGGGTACATATGTCCCAGGGCGCCAAGGTAAAGGGGCGCCAAAACGAGGCTTGCAACGTCACATTATAACTTATTGCGGCGGGCGCGGCAGCCTGAAACTACTGCACAAATCTACACCTCGACCTAAAAGTTTATATATCCCGCCACACACAGCCTGCATGTCATGTAGTTACATTTTGGTATGTGATTAAACGGGGGGGGGGGGGGGGGGGGGGGGAGGGCGCCAATTTAATAGTTTGTCCCCGGGCGCAAAATATCCCTTGCTACGCCACTGCGTTGTGGACCTCGGGACAAAAATCGGAACAAACGCCGACAAAAAAGCGCTCGACGGCAAATACAACAACTAAAAATGCCCCCCCCGCTAAAAACAAAATAAGTATAACCCGTAAAAACAAAGTTTTTCACTATAAATCCTTTATATGCGTGGCGGCTAGAGTCCTCTCGTCCTCTGGCTTGAGATGGCTGCCACCTATGGGTCAGATGATTGTCTGCCAGTATTAAGCAATTGGTAATTAAATATTTAATTTGTTTTCCCTAAACAGTGTAAAATTTTAGAAAAAAATTTTCAGTAACATTAATTGTCTCGCACAACGAGTCTGTGTGCAAAATGTCAGCTCGATTGGATCACGGGAAGTGGGTTAAAAAACGACCGAAAGATTTGCACGGTCGTAAGCAAGCAAGCAAGCACGCAAGCAAGCGAACTTAATATAAAGGATTTAAAAAGTCGCGCTTCTAATGCGGAAAGTTCTGAAAGCTGGAAGGGAACGTGACGGATTTTGTTTGGAGTGCTGACGGAGTGCTGACGGGGTGTTGACGGGGCCGCACCTGAGCTGGCCCTGCGTGTCGTGGAAGTCCTGCCTGGGCAGCACGACGCCCGGGTTGGAGTGGACGGCCAGGGAGCCGCGATTCTCCAGGAAGGTCGTCTTCATCCACCACTCCCGCAGCTGCGGGGGGGGGGGGGGGGGGGGGGGGGGGAGGGAGGCGGGGGGAACGTGGGGACAAGAGCGGAACACGGGACTCAAGACTGCGTGGGGATACACAGGGGGATGTGGGGACGTGGGGAGACGCACGCGGATGTGGGGACATACGGATGTGGGGACAAACAAGGGGATGGGGACACAGGGGGATGTGGGAACACGCGTGGGGACACACGTGGGGACACACGTGGGGACACGCGTGGGGACACGCACGGGGACGTGGGGACATACAGATGTGGGGACTCGCAAGGGGATGTGGGAACATGGGGACGTGGGGACACGCATGGGGACACACACGGGGACACACACGGGAACACACACGGGGACACGCATGGGGACGTGGGGACACACACGGGGACACGCATGGGGACACACACGGGGACACACACGGGAACACACACGGGGACACGCATGGGGACGTGGGGACACACACGGGGACACGCATGGGGACACACACGGGGACACACACGGGGACACACACGGGGACACGCACGGGAACACACACGGGGACACGCATGGGGACGTGGGGACACGCATGGGGACACACACGGGGACACGCACGGGGACACACACGGGGACACGCATGGGGACGTGGGGACACACACGGGGACACGCATGGGGACACACACGGGGACACACACGGGGACACACACGGGGACACACACGGGGACACACACGGGGACACGCATGGGGACGTGGGGACACACACGGGGACACGCATGGGGACACACACGGGGACACACACGGGGACACACACGGGGACACGCACGGGAACACACACGGGGACACGCATGGGGACGTGGGGACACACACGGGGACACGCACGGGGACACACACGGGGACACACACGGGGACACGCACGGGGACACGCACGGGGACACGCACGGGGACGTGGGGACACACACGGGGACACGCATGGGGACACCACACGGGGACACACACGGGGACACACACGGGGACACACACGGGGACACGCATGGGGACGTGGGGACGTGGGGACACACACGGGGACACGCACGGGGACACGCACGGGGACACGCACGGGGACACGCACGGGGACACACACGGGGACACACACGGGGACACACACGGGGACACACACGGGGACACGCATGGGGACGTGGGGACACACACGGGGACACGCACGGGGACACACACGGGGACACACACGGGGACACGCACGGGGACACGCACGGGGACACACACGGGGACACACACGGGGACACACACGGGGACACACACGGGGACACACACGGGGACACACACGGGGACACGCACGGGGACACACACGGGGACGTGGGGATGTGGGGACATGGACTCACCCAGTTGTCGGAGCGCTGAGCCTTGCGCTCCAGCCGAGCCTGCAGCACCTCACCCAGGCCGCCCGGTTTGCCGAAATTCTCGACGACGCGGTGCGTGTAGACCAGCTCCTCGGGAGGCACCAGCGGCTCCAGCGCCTGGGAGTCAGGGTGGTGTCAGGCCGGGTGTCAGGGCGGGTGTCAGGGCGTGTGTCAGGGTGGGTGTCAAGGCGGTGTCAGGGCGGTGTCAGGGTGGTGTCAGGGCGGGTGTCAGGGCGGGTGTCAGGGCGGGTGTCAGGGCGGTGTCAGGGCGGTGTCAGGGCGGGTGTCAGGGCGGGTGTCAGGGCGGTGTCAGGGCGGTGTCAGGGCGGGTGTCAGGGCGGGTGTCAGGGCGGTGTCAGGGCGGTGTCAGGGCGGTGTCAGGGCGGTGTCAGGGTGGTGTCAGGGTGGGTGTCAGGGCGGGTGGCAGGGCGGGTGTCAGGGTGTGTGTCAGCATTCTGCCAGTCATCTCAGTCAGTCAACGCATGGCACCTGGGTCTGCCCCGTGACCTCCTGCCAGCGGGCGTTCGATACTTCACGTGGCCTCAAGGTGCACATGGCCTGGCACAAGCACCGTGGTAATGTCACCGCCACTTAGTGGCGAATGGCGATTGTTGTTGATGTAGAACTTGTCTACTCGCGCCGTACGTAGCCAACCGTGCTAAATGGAGGTGCAGTGTTGAGTCTCTGGGCAGTGTTGAGTCTATGGGTAGTGTTGAGTCGATGGGTAGTGTTGAGTCTATGGGCAGTGTTGAGTCTATGGGCAGTGTTGAGTCTATGGGCAGTGTTGAGTCTATGGGCAGTGTTGAGTCTATGGGTAGTGTTGAGTCTATGGGTAGTGTTGAGTCTATGGGTAGTGTTGAGTCGATGGGTAGTGTTGAGTCTATGGGCAGTGTTGAGTCTATGGGCAGTGTTGAGTCTATGGGCAGTGTTGAGTCTATGGGCAGTGTTGAGTCTATGGGTAGTGTTGAGTCTATGGGTAGTGTTGAGTCTATGGGCAGTGTTGAGTCTATGGGCAGTGTTGAGTCTATGGGCAGTGTTGAGTCTATGGGCAGTGTTGAGTCTATGGGCAGTGTTGAGTCTATGGGCAGTGTTGAGTCTATGGGCAGTGTTGAGTCTATGGGCAGTGTTGAGTCTATGGGCAGTGTTGAGTCTATGGGTAGTGTTGAGTCTATGGGCAGTGTTGAGTCTATGGGTAGTGTTGAGTCTATGGGGCAGTGTTGAGTCTATGGGTAGTGTTGAGTCTATGGGCAGTGTTGAGTCTATGGGCAGTGTTGAGTCTGTGGGTAGTGTTGAGTCTATGGGCAGTGTTGAGTCTATGGGCAGTGTTGAGTCTATGGGCAGTGTTGAGTCTATGGACAGTTTTGAGTCTATGGGCAGTGTTGAGTCTATGGACAACCGCACTAATCAGATGTGCAGGACAAAAAAATGAGCACAGTTCTAAAAGAAATGAGTTTGCAATCGAAATTTTGAAGCGCAAAAGCTCCAGCGGCTTCCTAATATCGGAAGGAAGAACGTTCCAGACGGCCGCAGAAGCGAATCCGAAAGCGCCACGCGGTGGCAGCGCCGAGCGCAGTCTTCGTTCGACGTTTGGCCAAAATCTTCCTCGAGGACGACCGGTGGAGTTCGCGTGACGCCGGTTGACGCTCCTTGACGACATCCGCGAGTTGCTGTGGTTCGTTTGTGGCGAGCACTTTGTGTGTGTGTGACGAGCGCGACCTCGTGACGGAGTTCGTTCGGCCACCAGAAGCCAATGCAGCTCGACAAGCCACCGGGACCAGACACGGTCCGACCTTGCGGCAGCCCCGTCACGACTCGGGCCAAAGAATTCCGCGCGCGACGCAGCCTGCGGATGTTTCTGCCAGACGTCCCGTAGACTAGCGAGTTGCAATCATTGATAACAATAAAATAGAATCCCACCAACGAACCCCTCCACCCGAGCCACCTCACCTTCAGGTATCGCTCCAGGGTTTGGCGCAGTGGGGGTACGGGCAGTCTGGGCAGGGAGTGCCCCCCGTCCTCTCCTCCCAGCACAGACTTGACTCCTGGCTCCGACGATGACGATGACAAGGTCGTGAAGAGGAGGGGGGGCGGCGCGGAGAGGCCATCGCGACGCCGGGAGCAGGTGGCGGCCTGTAGGCCCAGCCGGTGTGGGGCCTGCGCGGGGTGCAGCGCACGCGTTGTTAGCGACATCCGCTACAAACATTAGTTTATTCTTCAACCCAAGTGTTTAGTATTCGCCCTGTCCGTCCATCTGTCTGTGTCTCTCTCTGTCAATCCATCTGTCTGTGTCTCTCTCTGTCAATCCATCTGTCTGTGTCTCTCTCTGTCAATCCATCTGTCTGTGTCTCTCTCTGTCAATCCACCTGTCTGTGTCTCTCTCTGTCCATCCATCTGTCTGTGTCTCTCTCTGTCAATCCATATGTCTGTGTCTCTCTCTGTCCGTCCATCTGTCTGTGTCTCTCTCTGTCAATCTATCTGTCTGTGTCTCTCTGTCAATCCATCTGTCTGTGTCTCTCTCTGTCAATCCATATGTCTGTGTCTCTCTCTGTCAATCCATCTGTCTGTGTCTCTCTCTGTCCATCCATCTGTCTGTGTCTCTCTCTGTCCATCCATCTGTCTGTGTCTCTCTCTGTCAATCCATATGTCTGTGTCTCTCTCTGTCCGTCCATCTGTCTGTGTCTCTCTCTGTCAATCCATCTGTCTGTGTCTCTCTCTGTCAATGCATCTGTCTGTGTCTCTCTCTGTCAATCCATCTGTCTGTGTCTCTCTCTGTCAATCCATCTGTCCGTGTCTCTCTCTGTCAATCCATCTGTCCGTGTCTCTCTCTGTCAATCCATCTGTCTGTGTCTCTCTCTGTCAATCCATCTGTCTGTGTCTCTCTCTGTCAATCCATCTGTCTGTGTCTCTCTCTGTCAATCCATCTGTCTGTGTCTCTCTCTCTGTCAATCCATCTGTCCGTGTCTCTCTCTGTCAATCCATCTGTCTGTGTCTCTCTCTGTCAATCCATCTGTCTGTGTCTCTCTCTGTCAATCCATCTGTCTGTGTCTCTGTCTGTCAATCCATCTGTCTGTGTCTCTCTCTGTCAATCCATCTGTCTGTGTCTCTCTCTGTCCGTCCATCTGTCTGTGTCTCTCTCTGTCAATCTATCTGTCTGTGTCTCTCTGTCAATCCATCTGTCTGTGTCTCTCTCTGTCAATCCATATGTCTGTGTCTCTCTCTGTCCATCCATCTGTCTGTGTCTCTCTCTGTCCATCCATCTGTCTGTGTCTCTCTCTGTCAATCCATATGTCTGTGTCTCTCTCTGTCCGTCCATCTGTCTGTGTCTCTCTCTGTCAATCCATCTGTCTGTGTCTCTCTCTGTCAATGCATCTGTCCGTGTCTCTCTCTGTCAATCCATCTGTCCGTGTCTCTCTGTCAATCCATCTGTCTGTGTCTCTCTCTGTCAATCCATCTGTCTGTGTCTCTCTCTGTCAATCCATCTGTCTGTGTCTCTCTCTGTCAATCCATCTGTCTGTGTCTCTCTCTGTCAATCCATCTGTCTGTGTCTCTCTCTGTCAATCCATCTGTCTGTGTCTCTGTCTGTCAATCCATCTGTCTGTGTCTCTCTCTGTCAATCCATCTGTCTGTGTCTCTCTCTGTCAATCCATCTGTCTGTGTCTCTCTCTGTCAATCTATCTGTCTGTGTCTCTTTCTGTCAATCCATCTGTCTGTGTCTCTGTCTGTCAATCCATCTGTCTGTGTCTCTCTCTGTCAATCCATCTGTCTGTGTCTCTCTCTGTCAATCCATCTGTCTGTGTCTCTGTCTGTCAATCCATCTGTCCGTGTCTCTCTCTGTCAATCTATCTGTCTGTGTCTCTCTCTGTCAATCCATCTGTCTGTGTCTCTCTCTGTCAATCCATCTGTCTGTGTCTCTCTCTGTCAATCCATCTGTCTGTGTCTCTCTCTGTCAATCCATCTGTCTGTCTCTCTCTGTCAATCTATCTGTCTGTGTCTCTCTCTGTCCATCCATCTGTCTGTGTCTCTCTCTGTCAATCTATCTGTCTGTGTCTCTCTCTGTCAATCCATCTGTCTGTGTCTCTCTCTGTCAATCTATCTGTCTGTGTCTCTCTCTGTCAATCTATCTGTCTGTGTCTCTCTCTGTCAAACCATCTGTCTGTGTCTCTCTCTGTCAATCCATCTGTCTGTGTCTCTCTCTGTCAATCCATCTGTCTGTGTCTCTCTCTGTCAATCCATCTGTCTGTGTCTCTCTCTGTCAATCCATCTGTCTGTGTCTCTCTCTGTCAATCCATCTGTCTGTGTCTCTCTCTGTCAATCCATCTGTCTGTGTCTCTCTGTCAATCCATCTGTCTGTGTCTCTCTCTGTCAATCCATCTGTCTGTGTCTCTCTCTGTCAATCCATCTGTCTGTGTCTCTCTCTGTCAATCTATCTGTCTGTGTCTCTCTGTCAATCCATCTGTCTGTGTCTCTCTCTGTCAATGCATCTGTCCGTGTCTCTCTCTGTCCATCCATCTGTCTGTGTCTCTCTCTGTCAATCCATCTGTCTGTGTCTCTCTCTGTCAATCCATCTGTCTGTGTCTCTGTCTGTCAATCCATCTGTCTGTGTCTCTCTCTGTCAATCCATCTGTCTGTGTCTCTCTCTGTCAATCCATCTGTCTGTGTCTCTCTCTGTCAATCTATCTGTCTGTGTCTCTTTCTGTCAATCCATCTGTCTGTGTCTCTGTCTGTCAATCCATCTGTCTGTGTCTCTCTCTGTCAATCCATCTGTCTGTGTCTCTCTCTGTCAATCCATCTGTCTGTGTCTCTGTCTGTCAATCCATCTGTCCGTGTCTCTCTCTGTCAATCTATCTGTCTGTGTCTCTCTCTGTCAATCCATCTGTCTGTGTCTCTCTCTGTCAATCCATCTGTCTGTGTCTCTCTCTGTCAATCCATCTGTCTGTGTCTCTCTCTGTCAATCCATCTGTCTGTGTCTCTCTCTGTCAATCCATCTGTCCGTGTCTCTCTCTGTCAATCCATCTGTCTGTGTCTCTCTCTGTCAATCCATCTGTCTGTGTCTCTCTCTGTCCGTCCATCTGTCTGTGTCTCTCTCTGTCAATCTATCTGTCTGTGTCTCTCTGTCAATCCATCTGTCTGTGTCTCTCTCTGTCAATCCATCTGTCTGTGTCTCTCTCTGTCCATCCATCTGTCTGTGTCTCTCTCTGTCCATCCATCTGTCTGTGTCTCTCTCTGTCCATCCATCTGTCTGTGTCTCTCTCTGTCCGTCCATCTGTCTGTGTCTCTCTCTGTCAATCCATCTGTCTGTGTCTCTCTCTGTCAATGCATCTGTCCGTGTCTCTCTCTGTCAATCCATCTGTCCGTGTCTCTCTCTGTCAATCCATCTGTCTGTGTCTCTCTCTGTCAATCCATCTGTCTGTGTCTCTCTCTGTCAATCCATCTGTCTGTGTCTCTCTCTGTCAATCCATCTGTCTGTGTCTCTCTCTGTCAATCCATCTGTCTGTGTCTCTGTCTGTCAATCCATCTGTCTGTGTCTCTCTCTGTCAATCCATCTGTCTGTGTCTCTCTCTGTCAATGCATCTGTCTGTGTCTCTCTCTGTCAATCCATCTGTCTGTGTCTCTCTCTGTCAATCCATCTGTCCGTGTCTCTCTCTGTCAATCCATCTGTCCGTGTCTCTCTCTGTCAATCCATCTGTCTGTGTCTCTCTCTGTCAATCCATCTGTCTGTGTCTCTCTCTGTCAATCCATCTGTCTGTGTCTCTCTCTGTCAATCCATCTGTCTGTGTCTCTCTCTGTCAATCCATCTGTCCGTGTCTCTCTCTGTCAATCCATCTGTCTGTGTCTCTCTCTGTCAATCCATCTGTCTGTGTCTCTCTCTGTCAATCCATCTGTCTGTGTCTCTCTCTGTCAATCCATCTGTCCGTGTCTCTCTCTGTCAATCCATCTGTCTGTGTCTCTCTCTGTCAATCCATCTGTCTGGGTCTCTCTCTGTCAATCCATCTGTCTGGGTCTCTCTCTGTCAATCCATCTGTCTGTGTCTCTCTCTGTAAATCCATCTGTCTGTGTCTCTCTCTGTCAATCCATCTGTCTGTGTCTCTCTCTGTAAATTCATCTGTCTGTGTCTCTCTCTGTCAATCCATCTGTCTGTGTCTCTCTCTGTCAATCCATCTGTCTGTGTCTCTCTCTGTCAATCTATCTGTCTGTGTCTCTCTCTGTAAATCCATCTGTCTGTGTCTCTCTCTGTCAATCTATCTGTCTGTGTCTCTCTCTGTCAATCCATCTGTCTGTGTCTCTCTGTCAATGCATCTGTCTGTGTCTCTCTCTGTCAATCTATCTGTCTGTGTCTCTCTCTGTCAATCCATCTGTCTGTCTCTCTCTGTCAATCCATCTGTCTGTGTCTCTCTCTGTCAAACCATCTGTCTGTGTCTCTCTCTGTCAATCCATCTGTCTGTGTCTCTCTCTGTCAATCCATCTGTCTGTGTCTCTCTCTGTCAATCTATCTGTCTGTGTCTCTCTCTGTCAAACCATCTGTCTGTGTCTCTCTGTCAATCCATCTGTCTGTGTCTCTCTGTCAAACCATCTGTCTGTGTCTCTCTGTCAAACCATCTGTCTGTGTCTCTCTCTGTCAATCCATCTGTCTGTGTCTCTCTGTCAATCCATCTGTCTGTGTCTCTCTGTCAAACCATCTGTCTGTGTCTCTCTGTCAAACCATCTGTCTGTGTCTCTCTCTGTCAATCCATCTGTCTGTGTCTCTCTCTGTCAATCCATCTGTCTGTGTCTCTCTCTGTCAATCCATCTGTCTGTGTCTCTCTGTCAAACCATCTGTCTGTGTCTCTCTGTCAAACAATCTGTCTGTGTCTCTCTCTGTCAATCCATCTGTCTGTGTCTCTCTCTGTCAATCCATCTGTCTGTGTCTCTCTCTGTCAATCCATCTGTCTGTGTCTCTGTCTGTCAATCCATCTGTCTGTGTCTCTCTGTCAAACCATCTGTCT